GATGTAAAAAAACCCAAAACCCCAAAAGGGAGTCTCAACTTAAAACCCAAATATTTGGCCCACTGTAAAGAAATAAGATGGACAAAATTTGGGTTAGGTTCCCAAAGGGAAAATTTAAAATCCACCACTTTCTACCAAACCAATTATCGCAGGGGCTTTGGGAAAAATAAAAAGGGCAAAAATTTCATGAGCTCAGGAAAAATTTCCAGAGCTATGACTGTCTATGAAAATTTATCATACAAAAAACATTTGGACAATAAATTCATTGGGGGAAATAGTCAAAGAAAAGGGTTAAAGGGACAGAAGCTCATTATCTCCCGCCCCATGGAGTCAAAAAAGTTTTCTGAAACAACCCCCACTACGTGTTGTATATAATTGCAGCGCACGTGAAAATAAAGATTTTGCAAGTTTTAATGATTTTTCTGAGGACCGGACCCTCACTAACTGAGAAGCTTGGGGGCGTGCTTAAAAAATTTGCAAAAACCCCTATGCCTACAGGGGCTGATTTTTCCCAAAGCTTTTTTAAAGATTTGGGGACTACAAAAAATAGTTAGGGATTGTACTCGTTCTTGTGGCCTGAAAATCCACATGTCCTCAAAGCCCTTGGGGAAAATTATCTTTTTCAAAACATTATTTTGGGGGTGAAACTTCCTTTTCCTTTCCCTTTCTAAAAGTACTCAAAATTTCACTTTTGAAGAAATCTAAAGCCCCTTTAAAAAGAAATCTTAAGAAATTTTCTATTTGGACAATCTTCAAGGTACTGTGAATAAAGGAGGATTAAAATTTCCTTATACAGAGAAGCTAACAAGGAGAGGGAAAGAAGCAAATATCCCTCAAAGGATGTGGAAAAAAATTTAACCCTTTTAAGGGGAAAACTTATCAAAAAAAGTTTTCGCTGAAGCTAAAAACCCTTTTGCAACAATATGCTGGGATTTAAATTTGGGAAACCACGGGAAAATTTTTCTTTGAGGGCCAAAAAGATAAACCCAAAAAATCATGCAGTAAAACTCCTAAACGTAGTTTTTCGGGCAGAGGTATCACAATGTTTTGGTCCTCTAGGGGCTCGTCTCATCAATTACCATAAAAGGGTAAAAAGGGTTAAGCAAGATGATGGGAAACTCAAAAATTTGGGTGGGATGAGAACTTGCCTCTTGAAATGAAATCCCAAAATGGGATGAAATATCCAGGGAGTTTTTAAAAACTTCTCAAATTAAAATTTCCCAGAAAAATTGATCGAGGGAAAAGTACACATTTCATGTGTTCTGTGATGCGTAAAACCCGAGGTTATGGCGCTGTAGCTTACTGGTAATGCTGAAGGAAGTACACTAATTACTTCCCAAAAGGGCCCGGGGAGCACCCTTGAAAGGGCAGAACAGTACCACAACTGGAAATGACAGCCTCTTTTGTAGGTACAAAATTAGCTGTCTATCTCAACAAAGACTTTATCATCTCACTATTGGAAAAACCGTGATCTGGGTGGGGGATAATGAAGCATTTCTCCCGTGGTTAAGAAATTTTAAGAGTAAGTGGCTATGTACAGAACAGAGTAGCAGAAATAAAGAGATGCCGAGGATTTTTCTTTTCTTCACGTTTACCCAAAAGAATCCAAAATGGAAAAGTTGTCAGTGGTGTCCCCCTCAAGAATTTTTTTTGGGTTTAAAAAAATTATGGCTCCACGGGCCCAACTTTGGGTCTCTTGTGAAAAAAACTGGGGGTAAACAAAAAACTCACATTTGCCGAAAAAACAGTCTGCCCTTTAACACAGAGAAATAAATTGTGTAAATCTGCAGCACAAAAGAAATTTTGTAAATTTATGGATCTAAAAAAATCATTTTTTTGGGTAGATTTAAGAGTTTCAGCTCTTGTCTTTAATTCATTAAAAAGGGAAAAAAACCTGTTATGAATATCTTGAACCCCTTAAATACTGGGGGAAAAAAATACAAAAGATTTTTCTCTACCCCGGGGAAAATAAATTTTTTAAAACAAAGATAAATCCCAAAGAAAAACCCGTCATATTTTAAATTTTTTAGGACTTTATCTTGACTCAGAAAAGATTATAAGGGTGTCGAGGAAGGAAATTTATAAAAAAAAAAAATTTTCCCCTACCCAAAGAAGCCCACATCCAATATTGATCCCCAAGAATCTTTTGGGTAAAAAACTGATTGTGCAAAACGCCCACACAAAACGTGTTACATGGTGGGAGAGCTGGGAAAACCCTTTGGCATTTCGACAATCCCACTGGATACCTCAAAGTCGACAAAGTGTAAAAAAAAAAATAAAGGGCTGTATTACTTTTCGTCACTAGATATTTCGAGTATGTCAGTTCCCCGGTCCCCTCCCTATTCCCCCTGAAAGGTTTGTTAAAGTCACTCCATTTGAGGTGACAGGTTGGTTTTTTTTTTACAAAAAGGGCCCAATTTTTTTTAACCAAAACAGTTACAAAGTTCCCATCAAGGGGTAATCTGCTTTTTCATTGTGCTACAACTAGGCAGTAATCTAGAAAATAGCCCTGCATGTCTGCTGAAACCTTTATTTAAATTATTCAGAAAGGTTTTTAGCCCGAAGGGGGTTGTCCCAGATTTAAAGTTTAGATAAAGCAAAAGAACTTTTTTTGCTGGTGCTGCTTATATAAGCAAAATCTTTGATCAACCAGAAGTTTCAAAGATGCTGAATCAACGCAGTTGCGTTGGAGAATTTCATTCCTCCTAAAACTCCATTGGGGACGGGGGGATTTTATGAAAGGGAAAGATCAGCATTGTAAAAAGTTTTTTAAGGGAAAACTCTTCATCGTAAAAAAATCGTTTGAAGAAATTTTTGTACAGTTGTGGGCTGAATAGAAAAAAAAGAGTCAACAAAAAGACCCCCTAATTATGTTACCGAAGATCTGGACAATTTAGAAGGTTAAGTTTCCCTCTCATTTACTCCCTGGGAAAAAGGTCGAAACCCGTTCCTCCCATGAAAGATAAAGGAAATTTATAGGGGGATCCTTTTTTTATTTCGAACCCCGAGCAAATCAGACTTAAATTTTAAACCCTTAATTTAAAGGTGATTGAACACTGGGAGAAAAATTTTGGGGAGAAAGGGCTATTCACCCCTTGGGGGGGAAAAACTTCTATGGAATGGTGGGTTTCCCGAAAATCATTTAAGTCCTTAAGACCTGGTGACATAGTGATTATTGACAATGATGGTCCGAGGTCCCAATGGCCACTTGGAAAAATTGTGACCATATATCCTGATGCAAATGGAATCATCAGGACAGTTGATGTTTTAAGCAAAGGTGTAGTGAATAAGCGGACAATAAATAAACTAGCACATTAGAATTACACAGTGTTGAAAACACTGGAGGGGGGTATCAGCCCCCTTCAGCCCCTTTCAGTCCTTTCAGCCCTGAGGGGCCCAGCCCTCACAGAAGGGGCAAGCGTCTTGTTTACTGCTACAGTGAGTAATTGATCACAGATGCCATACAAGTATGCGACGTGGTCAAGCGACCGTTGCTCCTTGCAGTCCAGTGTTGCAGAGTGTATTTTAATAAGAAACAGTACATCTCTTACTTTAGCAGGACAATTAAGGAAAATCCTGCTCCCACTTTATTACCATGGTAAAGATAGTGGACATTGATTGTCTATGCTTAAGGACAGCAAGAATCAAAACATTCTGCTTTGCTTTCATAGAGGAAGTGGCAAGGAAGCAAAGTACTAGGTTCAGCTTTTCCTTAGTGCTAGGGCAGTAAGGCATGGGGTGCTGTGGCGTCTTCAATTACTTTTGACACTACTGAGAGTGACACTTGACGCCAGGATAACACAAAGAACGATCTGTGCGTTAGTGTGACAAAGTATCTCATAACAACACAAATAAACATTAAGAGAAGTGTGATCAGCTTCTTTAGTGATAAGATTGGAACAGAAAGGACAAAGCTTGTGGAACATTAGTGTACCAGTGAGCGATTTCTAGACTATGGAAGACGTGGGACATCCAAGGACACTTCAGCTTTATCAAGTCACCGTATCTGTCGAAGGTGTGATGAAACACCTTAGCTCAACGCTACAAGAGCAAGGTAGGGTACGAATTTCTTGTAGTACGGGGGGACTGCCGCGTTCTTGGTCGCAAGGTGTTTGTAATCAACCAATAGTCGGAGTAAAGGTGCGGACTTTTGAGTCCAAACAAGTACGTAAATTGTCAGCCATCAGTGAATGAAATATGCTGACATAACACCCCCTAGGGGTAATTTATAATCTTACAAATTATAAATCTTTACAGACGTTGAGAGGATGACCTTCGACAGCTTTCCAAACTGGCTGCAGGGGCGGCTGTGCAGGCGATGAGTTGTCTTTCTAAAGTTAAGTTCAAACTCTATAAACTAAGCTAATTAATGCATGTTCTAAAAATTGTGAGATGTAGGTTTAAAGGTGATGTTGGGGATCATATTATGGAATTCCGAGGGTTTGTTGTTAAGGTAGCTACTGTTTTAAAATTATTTTACGATTTTTTTTTTTCAAATTTCTAATTTTTTAGGCTTTTATGTTTTACAGCAATATCTATGTTTTCGTATCGTGTTTCACTTATATTTACTGTTTAATGACCTAAACAAATGTAAAAACTAAATAAACAAAAACTAAATGTAAAAAGAGTTTAAATAAAGGCTCCCATTATTCCCTGTACACAACAAGAATTATTTTATATTGTGCTCACCTATGGCGCAGAACTGTTTTCTCTTATATAGCTCTAACGAGGCCAGTTGAGACCATTTTGGAGACCTTGGCAGTTTGGTTAAATTTGGTTAAATTTGGTTAATTTTGGTAATTTTTCCAGATACTGGACATGTAGATTAATTTATTATAACATTTTTTGACAAATTGGGGCTTTTTTAATTTCCCCAGGTGGGCAAAATTCCCTTTAAATGTTGCATTTGTGTCTTTGTTTAACGGTTTGTTGGTTTGTTGGTGTACAATGCTTTTACTGAAGAAGCATTATCACAAAAAATGAAAATCAGAAACACTTACATAATGGTGTGTATAAGACATTGTCAAATTTTCAACATTGACGCCCTGGAGGCAAGTAAGGATAATGTTGCTCTGTGACTCATTCTCCACTTCTCCACCATCTGGACATCCGAAAAGCTTTCCGGTGTACTGTGCGACCTCCTTGAATTTTCCTCCCATTGTCCCGGGAGTGATCATTGTACCGGAATATATAATACCTCGAGCAAACAAGCCTGATAATACAAAAAATTCCTCATGTTTGTTTAAAGTGAAGCAATAGATCCATGTCGATTATTCAGAGCAGAGGTGAGATACCATCTGCTTTCTGCTTACTACGAGAAAACCTTTAACTCATATTCACTTATATGTATTGCATACTTATTATACTTATAATTGTGCGTATATCCAGTAGGCACTTTACAGTTAGAAAAGAGAAGAATTTATAACCAGCTGTCAGTTATATTCTTAAGGGTGAAGGCTCATTTTTTTTATAAGTTGTAAAGTAAAAGGACACAAGTGCAACTAATGTGACATTTATTGTGGCAACGTTTCGCTCTCCAGGAGCTTGATAAAGCTCCGGGAGAGTGAAACGTTGCCACAATAAATGTCACATTAGTTGCACTTATGTCCTTTTACTTTACACATTTTCGGTAATTCTACCAACTTTATTATTTTTTATAAGTTCAAGGTCACCAGGATCAGCCTGCATGTAACCTCTACTCTACACCAGCAGACAGGGACACTTTAATCCCAAACATGTATTTAATTAACAGTAAATTTATGCTCTCATAAACATGAAAAATTCAAAACATGAAAATGATTCCTTCCCAATTTTCACAACCAAACCCCCAAAATATAGTTATTGATTTTTTATTCGCAAAAGCTAAGTGTTAAAATTAAAACTTCGAGTTATAAAATAAATAAGATGTTTATTCAGCTTTAGGATAAAGCTACAGAGAGCCTCTTCTAACATTCAAACGCAGTAACATTTGTTTAATACTGACTGCTAACCTTCAGAGTGTGGAGACAAAATGTGGAAATGTACTGAGACTCCCCCAGAGCTCACTCCATATATAGTGACTCTGCTAGCGTCTCCTCCGAAATTGTGAACGTTTCTTTGTACCCACTGAAGAGCCATTGTCTGGTCTTTTAGTCCAAAATTACCAGGAATCACTGTGTCTTCTGTTGACAGGAAACCTAAAAATGGAAAAAAATAATTTTATTAAAGAGCTCTATTGTAATCATTCAAATTGTTCCATGAAATCTCTGGGAATTCAAAGCCAAAAACTTTGGATTAATTAGGCAGGGTAAAGTAGCAGTCATGAATTTCATTACTTGTTCCTTTATACTAGCTAGCAAAAAACAAAGGGAATAATTAAGAAATTCAATAACATATAAAATAGGTTCCACGTCAATTTATCATCAACCATTACCTATCCCCAATTCCCTTTTTTTTTCTTTTTTTGATTATTTTAACTTGGGTAATCTAGCTAGTTTACATTAGATTAGAAAAGGGTGGGGTACTTGAACCTTTAAAATATCAAAATGATTATTAAAATTAAGATAAAACAAAAAGTAACATATCTGGCAGCGGTGTAGCTTTGTGAATATGTGCAACAAAGATCTGAACGACTCTCACATGTAGTGAGAATTATAGACAAAAACTATACACATTTTGTGCGTTTATCAATGCTATTATTATTATTATTATTATTATTATTATTGTTATTTTTATTATTATTATTTTATTATTATTATTATTATTATTATTATTTTTATTATTATTATTATTATTATTATTATAAACCTGTACTGGTCATGCAGCTCTTGGAGAATGTGAGATAATCATGTTTGATTCAAGGATAGGAAGGGGGGCCTTCAATTATTTTTAATTTATTCCATAGAGACATGCAAGAGGATAAACATTTAATACTTCAAAACCACAGAGGTAAAGTTCTATATATAAAATATTTGTAGATAATATATTATTTTGACTTATCACTGTGGATAAGAAGGTATAAAACATTAAACTTTTGTGGGTGAAGACTTGTTCCTCCGTCACTGTCTGGTACCTTAAGCTGTGACTGAACTTGGGTTTAGTACAAAAATGCACTAGAAGATAATTATATAAAAATGTACACGTACCAAGAATGCCAAGACGGTACTGGATAATAATAAATATTATATCTTCATTCATGAGGACATATGGTGCAAATTTTCTTATTCCTCCAAAAAAGAAGCCGCCTCCAGGAATTAAGATAATGACTGGAAGTTGGGCTTTAGGCTCACCAGGCTGTAATGAAGACTATTATTATTATTATTATTATTATTATTATTATTATTATTATTATTATTATTATTATTATTATTATTTACTGCAGTAATTACCAATGAAGAACAATGTCTTATTTTGTGTTTAGTAATTTTTCATTATGAGTCTTGAGTTACAAATATTATGAATCTCCTTGCGAGCATCAACCTTATGGAAATACATTGACCGAGATGTGTGTATTTCACATTGTATATTTATTCTCATATTTATTATACAAGCAACTGCTTGTAATGTAAATATCCAAGCAGCTAATGACGTGGCAGGACCTCACTGCCTAATAGCAAGCAAATGGGAATCTGTTCAGACTAAACCTCTGAATCGGAAAGATATGTGATATAAATAACTTTGACCGTGGACTGATTGCTGGTGCCAGATGGTGTGGCTAGATGGCGTATCCTTATCTCCTGGCATTTTTACATACAAGTCTCTAGAGTTTACAAATGGTGTGAAAAGTCCGAAACATCTTCTAAGCGGCAGTTTTGTGGGAAAAACTGCCTTGTTAATAAGAAACGTCAAAGGAGAATAACCAGACTGATTTCAGCTGACAGAATGATGTTGATAACTCAAATTAACATGCATTACAACAATGGTATGCCGAGGAGTATCTGTGAACACACAACATGTCGACCCTTGAGGTGGATGGGCACCAGCAAGAAGAGACCACACCGGGTCTCACTCCTTTCAGTTGAGAACAAGAAATTGAGAATATAGTTTGCACGCTAGAACTTGACAGTTGACGGTTGGAATAACATCGCCTGGTCTGACGAACTGCAGTTTCTGTTGCGACATGCAGATGGAAGAGTCAGAAATTGGCGTAAACCTTTAGGATGTGGAGTAACATGCTGCCGACAATTCTGCAACACCTGCGTGATGCTATAAAGTCAGCATGAACCAGAAACTCTAAGGATTGTTTCCAGCACCTTCTTGAATCCATGCCACGAAGAATTCAGGTTGTTCTAGGTGCAAAGAGGGACTCTACCCAGTAGTAGAAGGGTGCACTTAATAAAGAGGCCACTGAGTGTATATTAAGAATTCATTTCCAAATTCAGGAAATAAAGAATTTTTAACTAGTTTAGATAAGTAATATTATGGCATGGTAGAGAGGGGCTTAGTTATTTTCATCAACCATTAACTAAACTAATTTTTGATGAACAACGATAAAAATGAAATTATGTGGTAGAAAATAATTTTGTACATTTATTATTAATATTGTAGCTGCTTTGGCAGTCATATATCTTTCTAAAAAGTTATTTTTTATAAAGGAGATATTGTTTAAGTTTTAAATGAAAGACAGGATTTAAAGCAGATGAAAATACTGACACTGTTATTATTTTATGGACAGAATATCCATACAGAAATTATGAGATGGTTACAGTACAAGTTTAATAAAGTTATTATGTTTGCTAAAGTTCCTCAGATTTACAAAACAGTAAGAAAATTCCTTACATTTCCAGTACCTGTATACTACCTGTCTCTCTACAAGACGCCATTCATCACAAAAGCTTGTATATAAACTAAGCTTCGCTATGAACGCAGTTTAATCATATCGTGTAACTTAAACATTATATCCAAACAAGAATATTTTTCTAGATATATCAATGTTGAATGAGTTTAAACCGGAAAGTGAAAAGAATAATTGGTTGAACCTTGGGGGTGAAGATGCTGAGGTAAAGACAGTCTTCCTCTCCCTCGTAAAATGGTTGTTTATCAAACATTAGTGACTGGCCGTTGACCTGGGAGCAGACTGGAGGCTCCTGGGACCCATCCCTCACTCCCTCCCACCCATCACCACGAACTGGGTCCTGTAAGAACATCATTATTAGCATTATGATTGTTATAATTATTATTATATACACGTAGGAATCATACAATGGTAGTGACCAGTGAATACTTCACTAGTATTAAGGTGTTGAAAGATGTAAGACACCAGCAGAAGTGAATGTAATTTTTAGATTTTGCCAGTAGACAATGAAAGATCCTTGATTACGTCCACTCAGAATAGAAAATAGTGTAAATGAATTAGTTAACCAGGTTTTGAGCTGATACACTGCACAAGGCCCTTCATTTTACATTTCACCAGTACACCACTATTACAACCCAGGAGTCCCAAAGGCCTGTTATCCTGGGTGTAAAGGGAGCAAAATAAACACAGCAGAAAAACTTTTGACTTATATTATCCTTCACCAAGTAAGAACAGAAGTATGTACACTATATACACTATGTACAACAATAGGTATTAGTGCACTCCACGGTAAGCAAGGCAGAATAGAAGCCATTAGAGAGCAGACCGTTCTTCAACCAGCTCTAGAATGGGAATGACAAGAGCAGACAGGTGAGTGGTACCCACAACACCTCTGCGATTGCCAAAACCATCTTCTCATTGGCTGGAACCTGGGTACTGATTGAACGATGGGGCCCCATCGTTAACCCATCGCACCTGGGTCGTTGGTTGGGAAGATAGCCTTTCACAGTACTCGCCCCCATCTTATTCCTTATCCTCATATCAGACATAAACAGAGATATACACCACAGCACCGTATCATCCTTTGCGGATGATACTAGGATCTGCATGAGGCTGTCATCTGCTGAGGATGCGGTTAACCTCCAAGAAGATATAAACAAAGTTTTCCAGTGGGCAACGGTAAACAATATGATGTTCAATGAGGACAAATTCCAACTACTCCGTTATGGAAAACTGGAGGAGATAATAACTAGAACAGAGTATACTACTGACTCCGGCCATACAATAGAGCGGAAAAATAATGTAAGGGACCTGGGAGTAGTAATGTCTGAGGATCTCACTTTCAAGGATCACAACAGTGCCACGATCGCACGTGCAAAGAAAATGATAGGATGGATAATGAGAACTTTCAAAACGAGAGATGCCAAGCCCATGATGATCCTTTTCAAATCACTTGTTCTCTCTAGGCTGGAATACTGCTGTACATTAACATCTCCATTCAAAGCAGGTGAAATCGCAGATCTAGAGAGTGTACAGAGATCCTTTACTGCACGTATAAGTTCTGTCAAGCACCTTAACTACTGGGAACGCTTGGAAGCACTTGACTTGTACTCGTTGAAACGCAGGAGGGAGAGATATATCATAATCTACACTTGGAAAATCTTGGAAGGAATGGTCCCAAATCTGCACACAGAAATCACTCCCTACGAAAGTAAAAGACTGGGAAGGCGATGCAAAATGCCCCCAATAAAAAGTAGGGGCGCCATTGGTACACTAAGAGAAAACACCATAAGTGTCCGGGGCCCAAAACTGTTCAACAGCCTCCCATCAAGCATTAGGGGAATTGCCAATAAACCCCTGGCTGCCTTCAAGAGAGAGCTGGACAGATACCTAAAGTCAGTGCCGGATCAGCCGGGCTGTGGCTCGTACGTTGGACTGCGTGTGGCCAGCAGTAGCAGCCTAGTTGATCAGGCCCTGATCCATCGGGAGGCCTGGTCATGGACCGGGCCGCGGGGGCGTTGATCCCCGGAATAACCTCCAGGTAACCTCCAGGTATGCGCGGAATAAAAGTTACATACTCCTTGCATGCCACAACCACCTATCAAACATGTGTAAAAAATTAACAAAAACAATGTGTAAAATATTTACAGAATTTAGGAAGACTGTAAAACATTTAAAAAACGTCTAAACAAGAGGTAAAAAAACATAATTATTAAAAAATCGAATTTCGCTTTGTTTTCATGAAAGCACCTAAATTTTGCTTCTACGATTTTTCTGAATTATCGTAAATTATGAATTCTGCCAGGTATTTTATCGTTTGGGAAATAGCTTATTTAACTCTACTTACCTGGAAGTTCATTATTAATTGTGCAGTCTTACAGACTCTGTGTATAGAATCAATTATCTAACTATTCCGTTTTACTGATTTTTATTGAAATTATATTTTTTTCTAAATTTTCAAATTTTAAAAAAGATGATATATATATTCTTTATTCCTAGAACATCGAAAATTCAATACACTCTTTATCTTTACAGTCACCTATAACAATATTTCTAAATGTAAGTTTTCTTTTCAGGAACTTTCATATTATTTTGGAAGATTGAGACACATTTGCAACATATGGGAATCTTCATAAAGGTAAAATTTTGCCACACCTGCTTCGACTCACCTCATTCCAGGCTGAGGGATTGATTACCTCAAACTCCTCCTCTCCTTACACCCTTCTGATTTGTGTAAAGTAAAAGGACACAAGTGCAACTAATGTGACATTTTATTGTGGCAACGTTTCGCTCTCCAGGAGAGAAGAAGCCACTGTGTGGTGAAACGTTTCCTCAATAAAGATTCCCATATGTTGCATAAGTGTCTCAATCTTCAACTTGTCGGTTTTTTAAACCATTTATCACATCTGTCAGACACTGCAATGTCATGGGATCTTGATACAAAAAATTCTTCATCCTCGTCCAATCTTCGAACGAAGACCAACTTCGACTAGTGGATGGCACCACTATGACCCCGCCTCCTCCTGCTTTGCCTCACCTGACTGTAGTATATAAGCCACGTTTATGACTCCATGCTGTACTTTCTACAAGATTGATGGACTGAACACATCGACTCCAGGCTGAGGGACTGATTACCTCAAACTCCTTCTCTCTTTACACCCTTCTGATTTGTACTGGACTGATGAAACCACTGTGTGGTGAAGGGCTTCCTCAATAAAGATTCCCATATGTTGCATAAGTCTCTCAATCTTCAACTTATCGGCTTTTTAATTAAACCATTTATCAAATTCATAAATTATCCACTGCCTGTCATCCTCAGTACCAAGGTGCCTTGGAAAGATTTCATCAGACATTAAAAACCATAATGAGAACTTTTTGTATGCATTTTCCTACAGAGTGGGATGAATCACCGCCTCAGTTGTTGTTCACCATAAGAGAAACTGTGCAGGAGTCCACAGGGTAGAGTTCGTTTGAGCTAATCTTTGGGCACAACGTACGAGGTACTCTTCGAGTGCTCAAGGAAGGATGGATTGGAGATGATGCCTGCATAACACTCTACAACAATTCGTCAAGGCTGCAGGTGGCACGTCAGTTGGCTAAGGCTAACTTAAAAACAGCTCAAAATACTATGGAACAGAGGTATGACAGAAACTCAAAGTTTTCTCCTTCCATCCAGGAGACCAGGTGCTCATGCAGGAACCTGTACCTGGCCACACCTTAAAAGCTAGATTTACAGGACCTCTGCAAATTGTAAATAAACTATCTGATGTAAACTATGTGGTAGCTCCCCTTGACAAGTCCTCAAAGAGTAAAACATACCACATAAATCAGATTAAAGCATTTCATACTCCAAATAAAGTCCCAGTAATGACTCTGTCCTCTTCCTCTGCAGACGACCTTGATTCCTTGCACCCTATTCCTGAAATTCAAGTACAGCTTCTCAATTCTGTCCTCCTCAAGGACCCTACCCCTTTGATGGTGGGGCAGTCTAAGAATCAAGTAACAAGTTTAACTACACTCCTACAGTCATAGCAGGACATCTTTTGGGATGTTCCAAAATAATGTACACTAGGATATCATGATGTAGATGTTGGAATCTCAAAACCTATTAAACTCTTCCCCTACAGAGCTAACCCTGAAAAACAGAGGCTACTTCAGCAGGAGGTAGCATTTCTTTTAGAACAAGGGTTAGCAGAGGAGTCATCTAGTCCGTGGGCTTCACCGTGCATCCTTGTTAGGAAGTCTGGTGGAGGGTTTTGAATGTGTACAGACTACCATAAGATGAATAAGGTCATTATTCTAGATGCTCACGCTCTGCCACGTTTGGATGACGTAACTGACTTCGTGGGTAAGGCTACTTTTGTGAAAATTAGACCTCTGTAAAGGTTACTATCAGGTACCTTTGACAGATAAGGCGATGGAAATCTCTGCCTTCGTAATTCCAGGAGGTCATTATTAATATACAGTAACTCGCTGGCATCATTCCAAAAGCTGATCCATCAGGCTATCAGAGGTCTTGAAGGGATGGCCGCTTATCTAGATGACATTGTAGTTGTGTCCGATACTTGGGACCAACATATGTCCAAACTTAAGGTTCTCTTTGAGACATTTCAGAATTTCCAATTAATTGTTAATTCATCTAAATCATCCTTTGGCAAATCTACTCTTTGTTTTATGGGCCATGAAATTTGATAAAATTCTTGCCTTTAAAAATTATCCAGTACCTCATGATAGGAAATCCCTCCAACTTTTCTTATGCATGGTAGGGTTTTATAGACTATTCTGTAAGAATTTTGCAGATGTTGTAACCCCCTTAACCTCATTTAATAATCAGAAATCCCTGTTTCATTGCACCCCAGATTGCAATGATGCATTTAAAAAAGCCAAACGTCTACTTTGTACCGCACCCATTCTACTGTCTCCTGATTTCTCAAAACCCTTACATTACAGGTTGATGTTGTGAGTCAGGGGAATCTGTGGAAGATGGGTTGCAGCCTGGAGCCTATTTCTCTGCCAAATGTCGCACTCACCACAGGGCCTACTCCACAGAAGAAGCCCTGGCTCTGATAGTGGCTTTAGAGCATTTTGAGGTCTACGTGGGTCAGTCGTCTCAAGTGGTCACAGTCTACAGTGAAAACAACCCTCTGGTTTATCTAAATGCCATGAAGAACCACAACAACCGACTCATGTGATGCAATTTCAGGCTGCAACCATACAACATAAATATTATACATATAGCTGGCAAGAATAATAAACTGGCTGATTCTCTTTCCTGAATGTAAATTTCGGTTAGGATTTGTTATGGACAATATGGGTAGAACAACCCTTTTTTTCCCCATT